GTTGATGCCCCATACTTCCTTTGCCTTTTATGGAAGAGAACTTACACTCAGGACCATTGTGCTAATGCTGATGGGAGAGGGGAGGCCACAGGGCCCCTTCTTCCCAAGTAATTACTGCTCCTGGACCTACTTGGTTGGAGGTTTCCCTAACAGTGCCAGATGAACACATTTCATTGCTCTGGGGATTACAGCATGGAACTTTTGTCATGGATTCTTCCTCAGAGTTAGGTAGGCTTTCCTAGTTTGTTTAATTATACACACTGTAGCTGGGCAGTAGTGGTACAAGCCTTTAATCCCAGAAGTTGGTAGGCAGGAACAGGCAGATCTCTGTGAGTTCTAGGCCAACCTGGTCTACAAAGCAAGTTCCAGAACACAGGTACGTTAAGGAAACTGAAGTTCTCCACCAAAGTCTTGTATGTGTCATGGTTTAGGTCTACAGCTGCACACAGAATTAACAAATGCTTGGCCTGTAGCTTTAGAAGAGCTTGCCATAGCATCTTGGGCTGAGCTTGTGTTTTCAAGCCAGGTGACTCTTCCTTAAGTCCCTTCCTTGGGAGAAGCCCAGTGTGTTGCCGGCCTCAGAGTAGTTAGTCACCTCAGTTTTCAACCAGTGGTTCTCAACCTTCTTAATGCTATGACCCTTTAATACATTTCCTCATGTGGTGGTGACCCCCCCCAACCATAATATTATCTCATTGCTACTTCATAATTTGTAATTTTGCTACAGTTATGAATCACAATGTAAATATCTGATTTGCGACCCCCAGGTGGAGAGCTGCTGGTTTAAACTCTTCTGCTGTGGGCTGATTTCCTTTCCTTTTCACTCACTGTCCTTGCTCACAATGGAGATCATCTGGTTGCCATTATCCACAGGTGAGCCCTTCTGATGCCTAAAGATGGGGCAGTTTCCTACCGTTTCACAAAAAGAGCGCATTTTGTAAGCGCATTGAAGAATACCTTACCAAAATTGCCCCATGGTGCTTATCTGTCACTTCCTCTTTCTTTCTCGATAGGGTAGAAGAAAACTAAGAGATGACTATGCCACACTTGTGCTGAATAACACCTTCTATCTTAAATACACAGAGAGGGAAATGTGAACATGGCCCTCTGACTCAGCATTGGCAAGCCTGGAAGGGGCAAACAAGGAGAGGGCTTGCTAGTTTATAGTATTCTGAGAAGCTGGGCCATGCAGAGAATATTTGCATAAATCTGGTTAAAAATAACCTACTGGAATCTTGCCTCAGTTCTTGTCTGAATCAGATGGATTAGGGCTGTATTGAAATTAAAATCACTTCTCACTCACTTAAGAAGGTGTCAGCTGTACTTTGAACACTTGGAATGGGTGGGGGGGTTCTGAGTTCTTGAAAAGGGTGTGGTGGGAGGTTTTCCCATGGGTTCAGAAACTTTGCAATCATCACTCAGCTGGAAGTGGATTTCATAAAGTGGCCAGTGCCCAAAGTGGCCTGGCTGAAGGTAATGAAATGGACACGTTATGGGAAAAGTGCTCCCTGGTTCTCCAAGGAAAAGAGGCACCCGATGGCTGCTTCAGTGAACAGGTTGTGACTCCTGCTATTTACACTTCTTTTAACTGTCCTGTCAGCTCCAGCCTTCCTTTCTAGATAGCTCTCCCAGTATGCCTGGTTTTATGTCAGAAATCCTTCTCCATGTACCTCTAAGTATTGTCATACCTCTCTCTGTCCTGGCTCTCTCTCTCTCTCTCCCTCCCTCCCTCCCTCCCTCCCTCTCTCTCTCTCTCTCTCTCTCTCTCTCTCTCTCTCTCTCTGTGTGTGTGTGTGTGTGTGTGTGTGTGTGTGTGTGTGAGACAAGGTCTCACTGTATAGATAGTTCTGATTGGCCTAGATCTCCCTATGTAGAGTAGACTGGCCTTGAACTCAAAGATACCTGCCTGCCTTTGCCTCCCCCTCCAGAATACTGAGATCAAGAGTGTGCTACCACACCTGGCATCATTATCTTTTAGAGAACACACACATACGGGGGGGGGGGGGGGAGAATAAATTCATTTGTACCACTTTATGGGACATGAATTGATTTCATTTCCCCCAAAGAAAAAACATCAAGAGATGTACTCATAAACTTCTATAGTGCAATACATATAGTCTATATGTTGTCCTTTGGAAAGGAATATTTTTGCATAGCTTTTATGTAATTAAGGAAAGTTTTGAGACATGGTGACTTCTGAAGACTTGCTTTGCCCCAGAGAGGGTGGTAATGCCTAAATCTAAAAATATGGACTTGGGCAAATGGTCTTAGACTCCTGTGGTTACTAGTTTTCCATCTAAGTCATTCTACAAGTGTTCCCAAGACAGGCAACACTCAAGAAAACAAGTATTATGATTTATGTTAGTAATTGTTACACCCTAGATCTTATGGGTGCTTAAAAAATTACCACAATGACTCTGCAGAATTTAGGCATCTAACCAGCACCACTTGTCACAATATAATGGGGCTCTGTTTTTATTTACTACACAGTTGTATGTTGGCAATATTTCAAATCCTTGGCACAGATATTTAAATGACTTTAAAGAAACATGGAAAGCAAAAGAAAACATAAGGGAGACTTGAGTGTCTACACGTAAGAAGAATCCTACATGCAATTAGCATGGACTCATGAACTTGATAATGGTGAAATGGGAACCATGAAAAGCTTTTGTAGGAGACTTTGAGATGTTCTCCAGAGAGCACCATCACTTCTTTAAACCCATCTCCTATTTTTATCTGCCAAAGACAATCAAATTTGTTTGAGCCTTCTCCCTTGGGACAGGTTAGGTTCTGGAACATCCAGAAAGTAAACTTATTCCCATTGTATGATCCATGAGGCCCAGAGCCATGTCATCAAGAACCCTGGCTTTCTCACTAAGAATGCCTAAAGTTTCTTAGAATTTCCTTTTAGAAATTCACATTAAATACCAAGTTGCACATGTGCTTCCCAAGTTGACGAGGGGTGGAATTTAGAGCATTCCTTGTGGCACGCTTTGAGTTAGCTTCAAACTATAGAAAGAATAGTACTGTCATCAGCAGGAAATGTTTCTGAACCCAGCTTCCCAGTACCCCTCACCCAAGGGCTGAGTAAACACATGCCATTTTGACATGGGTCCTAGTGCTTTTTAGCTCCTCCCTGGGACCTCAAGTATATTGATAAATATCCATAACTCATAATGAAAGAAAAAGTGCACACTATTGAGAGTCATGACATTACCACCCTGAACAGTCTTGGAAGCTAAGCAGGGTCTGGCTTGGCTAGTACTTCAATGCGAGCATCATGAGGTACCATAATCAGTGATGTTCACTTGCTTTGTAGAGCACAGGAAGGTGGGAAATAGGGCATCATGGCTGGTACTGCTGGGACAGGGAGATACAAATTTAAAAAAAAAATCTTCAAGATGTGGTTCAGTGTCACCCTGGCATTAGGGACAATAGGGTAGGGTATCTTATTTCAAGACACTAGACAAACATTTGTAAAGCATGAACATTTATATTTAATTTACATTTTAACAATTTGCACATAAATAACAATGTAAACCAGTACGTAAACATAAGATAGTTTATTCTAGCAAAGTAAAAAGCCAATAACTTTGGTCAGTCTTAACTCTGAGAGAGAGAGAAAAAAAAACCACCGTTAATTGTGGGCTCAACACTTACATGTAAGAGGCCTAAGAGGGAGACAGATGGCAAGAAAAGCAATTAGTACTTGTAAAAAATCCTCCCAACGAAAGAAAACACAGGAGGAAAAAAGGTCATTAGAAAGAAAACATTTGGTGTCAATGTCATGTCATGCTTTGGTTTACCTACAATTAAGGATGATTTTCATTAACTATGGATGCATCCAGAAATGTCAGTCTTGAGTTGGGCTGTTACTCAGTGACATCTTGCTTGCTAGCATGTGTAGCATCTCTGATTTTGATCCTTGCAGGTGAAGAGAAACCCATCTTGCTAGTCACAGCAACGGATAAGTAAGGCTCTTGGGTTTCCCTGGGTGAGTTGAAGTTTTCCTCTTTGTGTTAATAGATACATACAAAACACTAACCTAAGCATTAGACTGCAGGCTGAGGAGGTGTCAGGATTCCAAAGGAGGGAGATGAAGAGAGAGCATAGTGGAAAAGGAAAAATTTTTCTTTCTGTGACCCAACTAACGCAAATGTAGCACAGCAGTCAAACTGGACAGATGATGTTAAATAGCAAAACACTGTTTCTATTCCTCCCTGGTCTCTACACAGCCCTAACCTCTGCACCATGGTGCTATGGTATCTCGTAGCAGGCAAGGTGGTGCAGGAGCACCAGTGTGATGGTGAGGTCATGGAGTTTTAAGCAAACCCCCAGAAAGAGGTTCATTTTGCTCTTTAGGAAAGTAGGTTCTTTTACATGGCTTGGCTCACAATTTAAGTGGTTATAAATATATTATATATACACATGGTATAGTGGTATAAATAGATTCATAAATATACATCATTCTTTGCTACACCTTGAACACCAACAGGTAACCTTTGGGCTTAGACTAGTATAAGACAAAACAACGCAGCCTACCATTCCGGAGCACACATGCTCAGCTGAGTAGCAAGTCATGAGATAAGACATCACTTCCTGCACTCCTACTGAATACACTCAATGAGGTAATTGTTGTTGAACAACTTTGCAATGCCCTTTCATCTTCAATTAAATTAATTATAAAATGCAGAAACACAAATACTGAGAAAAGCTGAGTTTTACAGAAATTACAATTGATGTGTTGGGGATAGGAATGTTCATTACCCGTGTAACCTAAGATGATAAAATACCCGTTTTTTTTGTTTTGCTTTGAGTTTGTATTTTAAGTGTGGTCTGAGCCTATCTACATCAAATCCTTCTAGGTAGGGCACCACCTTTGTGCAAGTTTGACATTAAAAAACAAAAACAAGTCAACAACAAAATGACACCCAGCCCTAAGCCACCAACCCTCTCTCTCTCTCTCACACACACACACACACACACACACACACACACACACCTGTACTTCAAGACAGATTCTTGGTGGCTTGACATGGCATCTTATCTTCTTCACATTTTCAGATAACACACTGGGTTGCCAAAATCATATGGCCACTCAGAATAATCCTATGACATTGGAGATAGAAGACCCTATATTTTTGGAGGGACAGGCTGGCAAAGCCTGTCACTATTTTGGTAAAATTATGGCTAGGAGGGGAAAAATAAACTATCATAGAAAACCAGAAAATATACATTTCTAATTCCTTCCACTCAAATTATTGCTGAGTAATTCTGCACACATACCCCCAACTTATACAATGTTGTTCAAATGATAACATTCTGAGTTAATACACCAACCATATGACTTTGGCAATGTCAAAACCTCATTTTAAAGCATTGTTATAGAGAAAGGTTGACTGAAATCACATAGCTGACTATTAAGTCTCAGGTATTTCAACAGATGTGCAGAAATTATCTACAAAGAATAGCCACAAGACAATAATACATTTATATTCAAATTACAAAGAATCTTTCCAGTCATTGTAAACTTTTTTAATTATTGCTTTTTGAAAGATAAACTGTATAATAAATTATGAAGGATTATCATTGAAAAAATAATTATGGCTAGGCAATAGTTTTAGTAATAGGAAGGCTATGCAAACATATCCACACAAATATTCAAAATACACAAGTTCAAATATATAGACATGGCTGTAAATAAGTATATATATATATGTATATATATATAATATGTATATGTATATATAGTTGAGTCTTTGCCTCATTTATGCCCTGAGATTTTGGTAACTTTGGAGTCCTTCTTAAATTCCAGAGTGGTGCGGGAAACCACCTGCTGCCAGGAGTTCTGCAGATCTGGAATTGTTTACAAGCAATTCGACACAGGCACCCTGACTCAGCAAGTCATAACCTAAGAAGCAAAGCAAAACAAAACACTTATTTTCTGAAAATCTTAAGGATCCATTGGTTCGACTGTTTCTTGTTTGACCTTTACAGGTACCAGAGGTAGTGGGTTGCTGTGAGGCAACTTCATGAGGGACAGGTCTGATGACTCATAGAGGCTGCACCCTGAGGAGAGGAGTCCTTTCCCCATGTTTCTTTGCAAAGACACTTTCAGACCATTTTCTTCTTTCTCTTTTCTGACCACAGCTAGAATCTCCTTCTCCACCATAGAGGTCACATCGATGCTGTCCTCCATGTCCTCAAGACGGTCAGCATTGTCACTGATGTCGAACTTTTCAATTTCTTCATTGATTCGGGTCAGATCCTCCAAAGGCAGCCCGGCGGCTGGGGCCACTGGACAGTTGCCCTTCAGGTGGACCTTGAGGCTGCAGAGATGGATGTAGCTCTTGTGGCACTGGGCACACTTGTGGGGTCGCTCCCGGGTGTGCAGTCGCTTGTGCAGCTTCAGATGCACAAACTGAGTAAACTTGGCAGGGCACACCTTACACTGGTAAGGTTTTTCTCCAGAATGCAGTCGAAGGTGGGTCTTGAGATTGCTTGTGCTGCTGAATCGCTTGTGGCAGACCTAAAGTGTGGAGAGGAAAGAATACAGAGAAAGGAGACAGGGAAAAACTGTAAGATTAAATATTGCCAATGGCAGGGGCAAGACAACCCAGCTACCTTGGGAGCCCAGAAGTCTCTTAATGGCACTCATGGTGTGGTAAGCAGTAACGGGGGAAGCTGTAGTTTCATCTGCGGCTATTTCCCCACCCACTGGAAGCTGTCACCCACCCATCACTACAGCCTGTGAGCAGCCACAGAGGGTCGAGGAGCTTCACAGAGCCAGCATCCTGTGACAAGGCAGGAATCCTGTGTTGGAAACAACACTGGGGGGTAAGGCCACAGATACTGTCCCCAAAGGTCAAAAGTTCTACCCAGAAAACACTTCCCACCTGGCATTCATGTGGCTTTTCTCCTGTGTGTACCAGGTAGTGTTTCTGCAGGTGGGCGAGCTGAGTAAAACCCTTGTTGCAGGTCTGGCATTTGAAAGGCCGTTCTCCACTGTGAACTCTCAAGTGGACCTGGGAAGAAGCCACAGAGGTTAGCTCTGGGGATGAGATGAGGCCTAACATCTTAAGTTTCCGCTCCAACAGCCAGGTGCTTGTGATGCAAGGATCTTAGGAACGGCATCAAGTTAAACCCCACATTTTCAATATTCAGCAGGGAGCACCCGTGCAGCTTAGTCCCAAACTGTGTCTCCTATGCCTCAAGCACAATTAACAACCCCGCTGCACGGCAGCCAACTTCAAGCGGCAGGTGTCTGGAGGCCTACCTTCAGGTTGGAGAGCTGACCAAACGTCTTGGCGCAGACGTTACACTCGTATTTGATCTTGCCGTTCTGCTTCTTCAGCGGGTAGGGAAGAGTCTTGTAACCGGTCATGTTTCTTTTGTTTTTGATGAGATTCACGGCTCCGTCAGTGCTGGGGGCTGCCATCACTGCTGAGGTAGCTTTGGGTTGTACCACGTGTTCGGACGTGGCTGCGGTTCCCGCGGTTGGAGATCCACTGGGGGGACTACTCTCGTCCTTCATGCTAGCGGCAGTCCCAGTAAGGGAAAAGGCACTGTGGGACGCTGGGACAAGCACCTCTCTGGGGTGCTCGGGTGGAAGCAGCCTCCGGGCTCCATCTGAGGGCAGGGAACTCGGTAGAGAAGCTGGATTGAGCATGGGATGAGTCAGGTTGCCCCCACCAAGGAGGTTACTGTAGACAGGATACAACCTGGGGAAGAGGCTGAAATTGTTGATGCCATTGATGTTGTTCATGGTGCTCAAGCCATTGGAACTTATGCCATAGGGTGGCAATAGGAACTTGGGGTAGTGAGCATTGTAAGAGGGGATGAAGGCTGGTGGGAGGTGGGGGGCAGGTGCATAGCCAGGGTAAGAGCCCAGGCCCTCTGAGCCATAGGAGGCATTCAAGTAGGAGGAGGAGTCCCGGGGTTCCAGGAGGCCCCGTGCCAGGGGTGACACGGTGTTCCCTGGGCTGCTCTGGGGGCTGGAGCTCTTGAGGCTCTGTTCAGGGCTGCTGCTTGCTGGGGGGCTTGGAGTTGTGGAAGACGGAAGGGGACTGTGAGTAATGTAAGTGGGTCTCTCTAGCCCATAGGCCAGGGATGCTTTCAAAAAGTCTTCGGGCAGAGGTGCCCGGATGGGGTAAACAACCCGGGGGTAGAAGGGCATGTCAGGGCTCCCATTTTTCCTGAAGCCATCCATGTCCTTTTCTGAAGTGAGGGGTGAAATGTCGGAACAGTAGAAGTCCTTCCTTTTGGAGGGATTCGAGTCCAGTTTTAGGATTTCTTTCACGCTGTACTCTCTCTTGGGGGCAGTCTTTGGGTAAAGTTCATTTTTCCCACTACTGTATTGTTTTGGGTGGCTTTCCGTTTGTGCTAAAATGAAGAAGAAAGGGCGGTTACTCAGAGACTGTGGAGAACCAAAGTGAAATCAGAAGCATGCTCCTCTTCTTGAGAAACCCTGAGTAGCAGCTGACAACACAAAGGCTAGACACCTGTCCCCTAACGCCTCTCACTCCAGAGGGCTCTGGCCACCCACTCAGCAGCACTGCTCCATTTCCTCAAAGGGGGGGGGGAGAGTGGGAACAACAACATCAGAAGCGGGAACAATGGCAGCCTCCACACAGCCACAACACCCTTGGAAGATCTGGCTTCCATTAGTGCAAACTATGACAGAAAAGTGCTGTTCAAACTGGAACGGTAGAGTGCTCACTGAGACGGGGTGGAAAAAATACAGGGGTGTGGGGTTGTCACACGTTATTAAGTCATTCTGATGTTTGCCGTTCACCTAAAGGAAACCAGCACACTCTGCAGACTGAGATGAGAGATTAAAACTAGTTTTAAGTAATGAACAGTCATCAATTTTCAAGTGGATTCTTTTTAAATAGGAACTCCATAGAGCTCTGTTCAAACTGCCTGTGCCAAATAGATTAAGGTCATGGATGCTACCCTGTATGGCCATTGTTGGACAGCACCAAAACTTCACCAAGCTCTGGTCTAAACTAGGCTACCATCTGGGCTGTCTCCTGGAATCATGAGGCATGACAGCTACCTCTGCCAAACCGCAACAGGTACTTCCCAAGCCAGTTCAATTACTTACAGCACCAAAGAAAACAGAGGCAGCTAAGAGGAAAACATTGACTCCTAGATATGGCACACATTCCCTGGTAAAGCTCAGAAACAATGGGGCCTTCCTAGACCGTCCACCGCCATCTGGCCCAATTACTCAGGGAAGATGAACCCTGCAGGAGAAGCCTCAGATCAACTTCCCTGGCCAAAGATAACACATATGATGCACAGGCTGAGCTATGGTTCCCGGGGTGCTCTCTCTAACAGGCACTCCTCCCCAGGAGCATGCTGACAGCAATGTGGGGAGGCATGGGTACGAGGGGGTGGGGTTATACATGCTCTGAATAGAAGCAAGATTCTTGGTCCCTGCAATCGCAGGTACAGGATGATGCTTAGGGCACTTAAAAACAAAAACCCAAACAAACAAATAAACAAAAAACAGCATCCTTTTCAGTCTTATAAAACAGCCCTGTCAGACTTAACTGAAAAGGAACTCCAGGCTTGCTACCTGTTAGGTCTGAAGATGAACTCTTTGGAAGCCCAGAACTAAACCTTTCCAATCCATTCTCCAGACTGACAGGCTTGAGGGATTCAATTCCAGTTGGAAAGCCCTTTAGAGGATGTTATCTCCTGCTGGCTATTATCAGTTCCCCCTGGGCAGCCAGGGCCCCAGAATAAACACAGTGGCCAACACTATCAGGAAGATGCTGCTGGGGTCAGTGATGGAAAGCTTTCTGAGGGAGAGCAATTTCTCAAGCCTCTAAACCAAAATAAATACCCCCTTATCAGGCCAATATCAGTCTTTCGGTGAGGCCCAGCAGGCAGGAAGTTCAAATTGTCACTTTTGTTTTTTAAAGCTGAAATGGTAAAGGAAGAAAGACAAGTAAGCTGGAAAACTGATAGACAAGGCATCCTATAGTCACAGGAAGGGATTTACTGGAGGCTTAAAAAGAAAAGAAAAGATAATGATTTGGAAGCACCCTCAGGTCAAAAGAAAAGAAAAGAAAAGGAGGTTGTGTGTGTATAACCCTAACTATGCCCTTTTGGGGGGAATGAGTCTTACTATACTATTCAGCTTTGGTTGGTCCTGAACTTGCTCTGCAAACCAGACTGGCCAAGAACAAGAGATTTTCACCTGCTTCTGCCTCTCAATTGCTGGCATTAAAGGTGTGCACCACCACACTCAACTCTGTGCCATTTTTATGTGGCAAATCACATCTAAGCCTCACAATGTTTTTGTAGTAGCCCCATGGTGGAAATGTAACAAATGAAAGCTCGAAGTATAAGGCATTAGGCTTTCTCAGTGTTGGGCCCATGTTTAATCATTGCTAAGCACTTCAGTACTGAACTCTCTGAAGCTAATGGTTGAGCCAACACACAAAGAAGTCAGAACTTCATTTTTCTCTGTGACACACATGGCATCGTGTTTGCTATCTCTGTCTTCAGAAAAACAGGCCGCCAGCTTATTCGGAAGGAAGATCTGCAGGAAAATATCAGTGTCTCCAAAATACTTTACAGCTGGAAATTATAGACTGTACATGAAGGTACATTTTTAAAAACTCAGCCTCCAGCAGCTGAGTAATCAGAGGAGCTGGTATCATTTCTGACTCTCCTACTTAGCAGCTTGAGTTAACATGAAAAAGAAAATCAAGATCTGTTTTTGTTCTTAAATCTTAAATGGCTGTAGGCGGACAGAGTCATTTCAAGAGTGAGCTGCCTCTGAGGTTCTCAATGGCTTCATTATGCCGACTCACATTTTCGATCTATAATAAGCACCCCCAGGACTACAAGAAAGAACCTAGAAGTTCTGCAGTAGGCAAAACAAAGTCTGTTTTCAACTGAAACCGAGAAAGCAGATTAACTTGCAGAAGTCTATAATTTGGTCAACTGATTTCTAGATGAGTTAGTTAGATAGATAGAAAAAAATTACCAAAAAGATTTAGAGGGCTAGGAACTAAACTTAATAGTTCTTTTTTTACCTTCTTCCTTCCCTTTTCTTTCTTGCCAGTTTGTGATTTCTAGCCACTTACTTTCCTTCATCCCATCCCTACTGTTTCCCCCAAGTAAGCCTTGGCAGGTTGGTTCTGGACAGACGTCTATTGTGCTTTAAGCATGGAAGAAATCTAGCACAACTCATCGTGGACACACTCTGCCTATTAGGCCTGATGAAATGGTGGAAATTTTCCTGATCACAGCCTCAATCATCAGTTAGTTACCACACCTGAGCCAGCAGGTTTCACAATCAGTGACAGCAGCCTTGTAGTGTGACTGCATTGTTAACTCTTTCTTTAGTGGGAACAACAGACAAAAGACTTGCTAACCTGACACTCAGAGAACCCTGAATAAATCAAAAGGGGTATCTGAAGAAAATATGTCATTCACAGTATACATGACAATTAGTTCTGAACAAAAAAAAAAAAAAAAATCAATGCCCCAGAGAGGCATGGGGGGGGGGCACATGCCTGTAATCCTAGCACTCTGGGAGTACTGATGGGATCAAGTTTGAAGTGAACCTAAGCTGAGTGGGGCCCTGTCAGAACAAAAACAAAATAACAATAATAAAAAAACAAAACCCAAACACGCTCCCTTTGGCCAAGCTGGGGATACCACCATGCTCAGCTCAAGGGCGCTGAGTTAAAGGCCCTGGGCACAGAACCTATAATGGGGATCCTACAGCTGAAGCTATAATTTTCAGAAAACTGAAGTTCCTGAAAGTCTGAACACTGTAGAATGAACACAGATAGCTAGCCAGTCAGAGTATGCTATCTCTAAGTCATTGGTCTTAAGGTGAAAATACTAAGATTAATATTTATTCCCAGTGACTCAATGGCAAAATCTGAACTATATCCTCCTGATGAAAGCAAATGAGACTGCACAGAAAACCTGGGTAAACAATAACTTGGAATTCTCTATAGTTTTCTGTAACGTTTCCTCAAGTTTGAGATAATATCAAAATGAAAACTTATGCTGTAGGATGATGGCCCATGCCTTTAATCCTAGCACGCAGGAGCCAGAGGCAGGCTGATTGCTGAGTTTAAGCCAGCCTGGTCTATGCACCTAGTTCTAGGACAGCCAGAGCTACACAAAGAAACATTGTCTTGAAAAATCAAAAATAAAAACCAAAACAAGCCCCCCCCAACAAAACCAAAACTTTAAAACCTTCAACATTGTTTTAATCAAAAGGGGGTCATTTTAAAAAGTGCTGCAGAACTCATAAGTATAACCCAGAATATATAGCCAGAGTTAGAGGTTAGACTTTTTTTATTTTTAAATTGTCCTTAAAGCTACTTGAGAATGACTAAAATAAAGGAATGTTTTGTAAAGGTCATGACAGCAACTTTAGCAAAAAAAAAAGTAAAAGCTTGTAAACCTAAGGAACCAAGAATCTGTCAAGATAAAGTGATAGGTGGTTACCGTAAGACTGATTCAAAGTTGAGATTAATTCATTTTACCATAAGGAAGGAAGCTAAGATATGTAATCTTTTAGGGCTATTCGCTTAGATGACTTGAATAATTATGACAGTTTTTTTTTTTAGAATCAGCCTTCCACATTAGACCATGGCTTTACATGTACAGGTATCTTTATAAGATTTCAATGAACACTCTAAACCCTGGCACATGCACATTAAGGCAATAAGGGACTACAGTTGGCATATTGGACATGTCCATACCAGTCTGCATTATGTCTGCTTCTAGTTGCCCTTTTGCATAAATTAGAATTGGGAATATATTTCTTTCTGTAACTCTCCGAAATCAACACTCAGAGAAGGTCATCATATATAATAAGCATGCAATAAATATTTGATTAAATAAGGAATAGGAATATTGAAAATGTTTTCCTCTTCCTAGTCTTAGCTAAAGCCACCTACTTAGTCCAACAGGTGATGAAGCCATATAATTAAACAACATATTATTAGCTCACAGGGGCAGAACTAACATGACCGGCGCTTTTCTTTTCTTTCTTTTTTTTTTTTTTTTTTGTTGTTGTTCTGTAATCCACTTACTAAGATTCATCACTGTGAGCTCTCCAGGATAAGGATAGTGAAGCCTCTCTGCAAAGTCCCGACAATACCACACAAGAAGTTCCTGGTTGGCAGGGATGGGCTTAATGGTGTAGAAGTAGATGTTCATCCCGTTCTGACAGGCAGCCAGGTTTTGCTCCAAGGCAGAATGAGCTGGATTCACATAGCGCATCCAGTTGCTTTTCTCCTCATTAAAGCCATCAATGAAGTGGTGGAACTCCTCTCTGGAATAGATCTGTCCGAGAGAGGAGAAAGATGCAGTGTGAAAGGCAGCTAGCCCAGAGCCAGGGAAAGCTTCCCCAAACCTCTCAGAATAAACCCAGGCAAGCAAAGCAGCCCCCATAGCATAGTTAGAGAAAGAAGGAACCATTGGTCTGCTGGGAGTCGCCTTGAATCAGCAGAAATGAAGCATGACATAGGTAAGGTACATTCTGTCAGCCACCTTTTCCATTTCGATGTTGTGGTCTTTTCATGCCTGGAGTGCATGGCACTGCCAGAGTACTCTTGCTACGGTAGCAAACGGCGAATGGGCGTGTCTGCTATGCTGACTTTTAGTGCTTTGAGTCACCGGGCAGACGAGCCAGCAGAGGACTGCAGCAAACCGAGTCTCAGCTTTTTCTGTGGCCTCTGTGCTTGTGTTTCCTACACCTCTGCCCCGGGCATAGACTCTGCAAACATCCTCCACCCCCAGCCCCAGTCCCACAGCAACACTTGTTCAGATGAATACTTGGAGCCCTGCCTTTTTGTGGAAACACTGGGTGGGGCAAAGGTGAACTTCACCTGCCATAACAGAGTGAGCCACTGGCACAGAGGCCAGCTTGGCAGTCTGAGAAGTCACTTTTCCTCTTGGTAAACATGTGCAGCCCTGTGCCTCTCTTTCATGCCAAAAGAGTAAAGATTTCCCAGTATCTATGAGGAGGCTGGCTAAAACAACACACACAGAACCATGATTTGGGGCTTTTGGAAAAAGCAGAGGGAAGAAAATTACACACACACACACACACACACACACACACACACACACACACACACACACACACACAACAGTTCCTGTAAAGAAAAACACAGAGTTTGCCCTTTAGCAATGCTACCTCTGGCTAACAGCTGTACTCACAATGGTTAGAAAAAGGGCATAGTTAAGAACAGAGGAAAACACTCTTACTGAAACCAAAGAGCAATAAACTCACTCCTTATCTTCTCCAGAAAGTTCCTTTCTTTGAAGAGGCACCACCCTCTTTCAGACCCCAGAGCTTTCTTTACACACGGAGAGTCAATACCTGGTCACCTGCAACCGGAGTCTCCAACAGATGCCCTGCTTGCTCAGCCCAGAGAGCTCTACGGGGCAGCAGGCTATTGCTTTATTCTTAGTCACACTCTGGCTGTGTGACCGTTTCTGTATTTCTCTCTAACGCTATCAGAAATGAAAAGGAACTCTGTCCCTTTAATATAGGCAGTGAACAGCAGAATCAGTTTCTTTTAAGAGTGACTTCCTGTGAATTGTGAGGGGGGTGTATGTGGCTTCATCAAAGCAGCCTGTGAGAGCTTCCGCGGTGTGTCTTGTTAAGAGAAAATGTAACAAGACTGGGTGAATTCAGCTATCAAGAGGGGTTTTCAAGTTTGTTTACTCTGACGCGCAAACTTCCAGGAACATGGGGTTCCAGCGCTCTCGCACTAGGGCGGAAACTGCTAGCCTCGGGTGTGTTGATCCCAGTCGGCTTTCCACGACTACAATTTATTGTATCCTCCTCGTTTAAAAACAGACCCATAGATGTCATAAAGTCACACACACCCCAAGAAAATAAAATCATGCATTTGTAATACGCACACTGATGCCTGCCTTTCCATTTATTATCATGAAGATTAAACACATGCTGACTCATAGTACAGTTACAAGAAATGTCACTGGTTTTTCAACTTGAGCATCTCTTTGACTGTGTAATTTGCATGAAAGCCCTTCATTCCTCACAACAGATGTTCCTATTCCTGCCCTACAAATCAGGCTCTTCCAACAAATGACAAGTTTTATTCCTTATACTGTTTTTGTTGTATATTAACAACTGATTTAATCAATTCCTCTCAAGGAAAGCCTTTTAGTTATTTATATTACTATTATTTTGTAAATCTATAAATGAAGCAGGACAGGGAGAGTAATGGGATTCTTAGGCGTTTCTTAACTATCTTCAAAATGACAATGTATTAATGAACATGTCAGATGGACAAGATTAATATATTTCTATGGCTTCCATCTGAGAGTGACCATAAAGGCAAAAATATACTCACATTCAGTCAGTCAGTCCTGTAATAATATATTTTAATACCAAGTAATTATTAAATAAATAAAAATTGAGAACAAATAATTCTTAACAAATCTACAACTACAGTTGTAGGAGTAGCAAGTAAATGACTGAAAGTAAAAATGTCCTAGATGTAGAGGGATCTCTTAGGAATAGCTTCATGAGTAATTTCCTAACCAAAAGTCTTTATAAGTTACTTATGCAAAAGTATCAGCCAGGGCAAGCATGATCCAGTCTTGGTTATTAACATATCTTTAGGTGGTATGTTCTCTGTGTTGTATGAGGAAAAGTGCTCACTAAATTTATATAAATAGCTCTTGACTTCCAAACTGAGCAGGCTGGAGACATCTTGGGGAAAGGGAGGTTGACTTTTCTTTATCCACTCCCAATTCAGATTTTACCCATGAATCCCATCTCCTAGGTCCCCCCAGGTTCCTTACAAAACTTTGACATTCCAAGAGAGACTGCATAGGTCAGACCTTTTAAATAGCTATACTAGCCAAGTCTGTCATCTCACATGTGTGTGAGCATCTTCCTTATGCTTAGCAACTTAAGATACTGTCAAATGTAATAGTTTTGTGTGCAGATGGATTTAATAAGTGACTTCTGTGGTTCTCTGCCCTACTAACCCACCTTCTACCTATCCTTTCTTAGTGACATTTCTCTTCAAGATAATTCATTTATGATAACTCTTCCATTCAATTGAAGTAAACTCAGCAAGAAATCAAGAAAAGGTGAAATCTAAGGCTTGGTGACTCATTACTACTTCCTCGAAGAGAAATGCAAATGAACCTGCCCTTGAAGCAAGCAACAAACTGTTTCCTTTCATCACAAAGTTGTGTGTAATGAGTTGCAAAGATCAAGATTCACATGCAGTCCCATTTAACCACCTACAGCCACAATTTCCAGTGTTTCCTTGAGTGAGCCCATTGTTCCCATCACAGGCTGAAAAGGGACGCTGTTCTTTAAGCTCCATCTACCCCCAATATTGAAAAGTCTTGAAAATGTTTCCTTACTTACCCGCCAAAAGTATTTCCTGTTGGCGTTCTTGGGAACCGTGTCATTGGTATAGATTTCACCTATCAGGGGTCCAAACCTTGTTCCCTTCGGTATGTACTCCTTACTAACCACTCCAATAACCTAAGGAGATAAAACATGAATTTGTTACTGAAACTCTGAGGTGTCAATCTTGTTATTTCAGTGAATTGAGTTGTCAATTGGCATCAGTGATGCCTCCACAGCTAATGCACAGCAAGCTTCCTTAAAGTCATCTAGGCAAGGAAATAGTCCAGGGAATTGCTTTCTGATGCCTGTGGCTCTTTGCTTTATTACTTTTCATGCTAGAAGACCAGATCAGCATGCTGTTCCAAGAGAATAAAGCAGAGAGGGAGATGTCAAGATTAGACCCTTCAGTTTCCCCCTAGATCCCTCCTTCTCCCTCAAACCATAAACACAATGTGCTTGAGGGGGGAAAAAAAGCTTTAACCTCAGAAACCAAAATAATGCTCTTTACTTATCCACAGAGGCCAAAGGAACCAGAAACCAAACACCTTGGCCTATGCCCTTACAGTAAAAATACAGGGAGAAAAATCTAATTGGGTGAGATTTGGAGAGGAGGAAGATGGGAGTAATTAAAATACTCTTGTTGCAGTGCAGAAGCTCAGGCCACCTTCACAACTGAATAGTGTTTTTTGTTTTTTCATTCCAGATGAGATTTTTTTGCCCCCTCTTCTTTCCCCCACAGCTTGTAAGGGTTCTTTACTAGAAGAAAGATCTTTCAAGTAACTTTGTTCTTCTCTAACATCTACTCAATGGTGGTCACAAGTCCCTCTTTGAAATGGAATGTGTAATGAGGAGACTGTGGGTTCTAAAAGATGTGGCTTCTAAGATCTGAGGAAACGACCTGTTCAGTCAGACTGAAGGCTTCATGCATTATGACTCTGTGGGGTTTGCTGAAGAAACATGGTAGCTATGGCAGTTCTTCCTTGATCAAAAAAAATAAAAATAAAATAAAATAAAAAAATCAGACACAAACTGGAAGCTCAGTTCACCTTTCACAGTAGAGATTTGTTTTCTCATTTTAATTTTCTTTGTGGTTCAAAACAGTAAGAAATGTCTCACTGAAATGACCAAGGGCAGTGTAAAACATAGGATTTATTCCTACTTTTTATTTTTCTTAGTAGCTCTTGTATAATTATATATCTGAAACAGCAAGTGCAGATAAGTGAATGACTGTTCAGACAGTTTGCAGTGGAATCCAGGACTTTGGTTATAATACACACTGGTACCTCAATCGATCCATCAAAAATTTAACCTCTGTCTAACACGGAATAAGCAAACTTGCATAGCTTGTTGTCATGTCATTTTTTTTAAATCGTCAAATACCCTTTATTGCAAATTATTTAATATTTAATATACAGTTAATAGTGCATTCTTAAGACAGGAAAAGGGGTGGAGGAGGAGAAAACTTTCTTTACTCATTACAACTCGAAACAAAGTTGGTGAGTTAAAAGTGTTATTTTTGGTCCTATAAGAATTTGTGGCAAAGGTCTGAAAAAGGCAGATGTTCCTCTCCTCTGCCCTCATTACATCTGTGTATGCTTCTGAGAACACTTCATCACTGCTGCTGTTGGTTACGGCCCAGTTGAGGAAGACAGGAGCATCTCAGAGCTGAGATGCTAGAGACAACAATATACAGAGAAGCCTGGCTGGCCTTCCCTGGTCACGGCCTTGTTTAGGACAAATTATTGAACCTACTTTGTAAAACTCATGAAACTGTCTTCTATAATACACAAATTATTAGACATTTACATTTGAATGCTTATTCCATAACATTAAAATGCCAAACAGGAAAAACAAATAATGCCATTTGTCAGAGAGCCAATAATTAGCAGCTGATAATTTCAACATATCCACTTTAAAGCAGTGATTTTAAGAAAGGCACTCGACTGGTTCATCAACTTTGTTTTAAATTATAGCCTCCTGCAGACAGTGTCTTCGGAGTCAGCGCTTGATTACCAACAAGGAGCATTACATCGAGGTCACAGTTTCCCTTCCAAATTGCCATCCTTCTTTCTACAGAGTGGCCTCTTGGTTTTCACCTATCAGTCTTACACTAAGAAAACACCTTTTCCTGTGGCCAAAAGGAAGTTAATTAGAATCTCGTTCCTACAACAAAAGAATTGTGGGGAAGGCATAAGCTATCTAGTACCTTTTAAGCACAACTATGGACTGGGCACTATACATGTTTAAATCAGTATTGGAAGTACCTGTCATCTATAACCTCACAAATGCAAATGAACAGACAAGGCAGGAGAATAATTAAAAAGCAAGTAGCCTTTTTAAGAAAGAAAGTACTGGTGTGGCTTCAAATCCCAGCTACTCTGGAGGCTAAGGCAAGAGATTGATGAGTTCAAGGTCTGCCTGGGAAATATAACCAGACTGAACTTTACTATTAGATGGTTTTTATAAACAAAATAGAGCATAATATTTTGAATTCCTACTATACATAGAGACGAGGAATATAGAAAAATTAGCCCTGATAGATACACAAAGACACATAATTCAGCATTCTGAGATTAGAGGAATCCTGCTGCTTCTGAGTTACCTATCACTAGGAGGAAGCAGGAAGAGCACCAGCTCGTGGCCTGTAGACTACAGACATCTCCAGAGTCTGTCTCAGAAAATGAAAACTAAACCATCTACATCCATCCTACGTTTAGCATGCTAATAACACACAATAAACACCTCCGTGTCAAATCCACATCTGCAACTCTAAAGTGGGGATGGAAGCCAGAGTTGTTCTTAATGGAGGTCCTAAGAGATCCAGATGAGTATAGTAGCCCAACCCCACCTCCCTAACCCATTGTTTACAGTGTTCTATTCTAGGTACAAGAAAATGGTACAGAGAAACTTGGCCTGCGCTTTGAGTTGCACAGTGCTAAAAACACTAATTAAGAGTGTACTCACCTAACTCAGGAAGGAAACTTCACTGGAACTGACCAGGGTCCTAAAGAATTACTGCTGGAGAATGGCCACTGTATGCCTTCTATAAACCTATCAGTAAGAGAAAGAGGCCTCCAAAGGCTGCCCAAGTGTCAGCTGCCCCTACAGAAGCCCTTCATGCTTGCTTTATGTGCTGAGCCGACCTCTCTGCCACTTGGGCATATCTGTCTCTGTCAGTGCTTTGGCTATAGAATACAAACTGTCTGTAGCTTTGAGACAAAAACCAGGGTTTCTTTTTAACTTTACAAAATAAAGATTTTTTTTTTTTAACAGTTCAGGATGGATGGGATGGAACTATGAAATGAAAGATAATAAGAACAATGTAGGTTTGTTTGCTTTAAAAACAAGTCCCCCTTTAGAGACTGCAACAAACTCACACAAGAAAACACGGGAATTTGAAAGAGACACTATTCAGTTGTGAAGGTGGCCTGAGCTTCTGCACTGCAACAAGAGTATTTTAATTACTCCCATCTTCCTCCTCTCCAAATCTCACCCAATTAGATTTTTCTCCCTGTATTTTTACTGTAAGGGCATAGGCCAAGGTGTCAGTCTGTATTTCACTCCATTTTTTTTTTTCAAAGAAATGAACAGGTGTTTCTGAAAGGTTTCCAACTTCATTATCTTTATATTAAAGACAGTGGTGATGCCTTGCCATACGCTATCCAGTAGAAGAGTTTGGAGGTGGATTTGCATGTTCTGGTGAGATTCTTTACAGATGGCTCAGCACAGTAATGGACCTCAGTCAGAATAGACACAAGCCCCTACGATCTGCCTGATGTTTGTCAGCACTCAACTCCAGATCAGTCTTAGAGGAGCCAAGTGCCTCTTGAGGACAAGTCCCCTCAGCTGACAGCAGAAACCTGTCTTGGACACTGCTCCTAAGCCTCCAATGATTTTTCTGTAGTCAAATACTCACAGATTATTTCCGGAGGCCAAGGGGAAACTCCCCACAAAAGAACAACCTGTCAGGTTAAACGTTCTACAAGTTTTAAATAGCATGTCTGTATTTGGTTTTAGATCTGGAAATAGGAAGTAAGAACAGCCTCAATAAAAAGTGCAGAATGATTCTGAGCCAGATCTAAAAATTAATGTTAAGATCAAAAATACAGTTTGTATGTTTTGTTTTTAAACCCAGGGGGTGGGGTGGTGGGAAGGTGCTGGCACATAGCACAAATTCATAATGAAAAATGATCTTGCTAAAAAAAAAATTCCCCAGGATGTCAGCACACAGTACATAAAGTAACAGCTTTTGCTATTTTAATGAAAACATTTAAAGATGAGTGAGATAAATCAGTCAGAAAAAAACCTACACATAGAAAAGCCTTTTTTTTTTTTTTTTTAACCTGTTTCCACAGCTCATGGGACTCATAGAACTAACTGAACAACGAAACAACGAGAATATATGTAAACATTTCATCGATTCTAGATGCTTCTGCATTGGAACTGGTTTGCATGTATCACACCCTGAATGGCTCAATTCTGCCATTTCACCATCCCTAAGGAGCTATCCCTAAGTTCAAAACAAGGAGAGAGGGAGAGGGGGATAGGGAGAGAAAAATAGGCATACCTTTTAGTGTAAGCTTAAGACAGGATGATATTTAATTTTGTTTCCTGGTTGCTCTTATGATTGAGGACTAAAGAGGTACTACCTCTTATTCAACTGTTTCACTTAAGTAAAATATGGGGATGAAGGATAAAAGAATCCCAACTTCCTACATGCTATGAAGGATTCCCCTTCAGGAAGAACACAAGTACTGTCTCTATCTGGTTGCTTAACATTACAGGAATAGGGAGGACTTTGGCAGAAAAAAAAAAAACCCAACAGGCTTAGTAAAAAGATGGGTCTGAACTAGGTTAAGATGATAAATAAAGCCACAGTGACACCAACAGGGACCCGGGGAACATGATCTAGAGACACCTGGAGCAACCAGAGAACTTTGCTCCCAGTCTGTGCCTGGCTGTAACTACATAGCCTTTGGGGAAGTTGACTATCTTGCTCTGAACCTTGAACTAAATGATCTAATAGCATAACTCCACTCAGCCATGATTTTCAGTAGAATGACAAAAATTGAAAAACTTAAGTGTTGAACTGAGAAGGGCATCACAGGGTAGTGAAACAGATAACCCACAAAGTGGGGTCTTTACTTCTGTCCTAATAGGCTGCACAGACAACAGGACATGAATGATCCTTTTGAGTGGATAAATGTTTAGTCAAATCCGATGTGGCAAAACAAAACAAAACAAAACAAACAAAAAAAAAACCACCTTTTAAAGCCACAGTCAGGCCTCAACACCCAAACAAATGCAACATTGACTACAAGATACAAGAGCTCCTCTCTGCTCAGGGGCTTTCTATTGAGAACACTGCTTTCAGGAAGAGGTATAATTAAGGCTGACCTCTGGGGTTACATTTTTTTTTTTTTTGGTAATATTTGTATGCACACTGCAATTTAAATTTTGCCTTTTATAAAATTTAACACTATTCTCTCAAGAGTGGAGCTTTAGTAAAACTCAAAGCAGAATTCCTCTTTCTCCCCCTCTCCCCTTCCCCCAAAACACTGAACTCAGACACACAAACAGGAAAGAGACAGTATTTCCCCAACTCCGGGGACTCTCACATGAGCTCTCCTCAGGGAAGGACGAAAGTGATTTATCTTGGCCATAATGAATACTCCCAGGAGCAAATCTGGATTTTTATAACACGGAATCCCCTTTCCACTGCTCCCCAAAGACATTAAGTATCAGAACCACGGCACTGTGGGTGATGCCGGTGGGAAGTCTGCCTGGGGGTGGGGGTTGTCCTCAGCGAGAAGACCCTCAGGAGAGGGACTGCAATAGTTAGATTCTCAGAGCAAGAGGTAGTTCTGCAAATCCCTTCCAGCCACACATTGCCAGGCTTTAATTGTTATATAAAAGGGTAAACACAAGTCAGGTGCTCCTCAGTTGCTTGTCCCTTTGAAACAACAAAGAGTGTACCCACTTCAGAAGCCATTCAGAGTGGGGCCTGCCAAGCCTGGCCAAGGCAGAAGAGCTGCTGCAGGTAAACAGTGGTTAGTGAAGTCATCCTGACAGAGGACACTTTTAAGTGACCCTCTTCCTCCCGGTTAATGCCATCACTTCAGTTAATAAACATGTCAAGGTTTTGAGAATAATTTTAGAAACCCAGCTAATAAAGCTGGCTCGTTAAAAAGAATAAAGCCATCTCACGAGCAAAAGGAGACATCTTTTTTTTCTCAGAAAATGAAGAGCAGAGCCACAGCTTCCTTACAGGGCTGCCCACGGGAGCCAGCTCTTCCAAGACATGTCAATTTGCCAAAAGATTTAACTGTTTACTAATTAGTATAGGACAGCTGACGGTAGGAGGAAATGACTAGGAATTGGCTTGAAGAGAAAACAGTGAGTAGAGAGGTCAATTATTTGCCAATAAGTCCTCTTGGTTCTCAGAGATAGTAGTAGCACTAACTCAAGTGCCCATCGTCAATAGGGCACAGGCTTACCTCTTTGCTGTTGTTGGTGGCATACTTGAAAAGCAGGTTCCTTGGTAGGGATGCCTCTGCTTGAACACAAGTACTCCCGTCGGCACCGGAATCCCAGGGGTGGTCGTTCACTATGTAGGTACACTTCTCTTCAAATTCAGCCTCTGTCCATAGAGTCATATCAGCGTCCTCCATGTCCATTTTCATGATCCCAGTCCTGTCTGCCAACCCTTGAAACTTCACGGAGCTGGAGCTACACTTAGGGGCAGCCTGTAAGAGAAGGGAAAGGCCTTTAATCCCCATTGTCCGGCGTTCCTGTGGCTCCCTCTGAGAGCTATGACTAACACAGTAGTCTGAAGGCTTTAAGAGCTGATGGAGGACTTGTACAGTTGAGTAAGAGTCCAAAGCCGTATAAAGCAGACTGCCTTGAAGAAGCACGGTTTTAAAGTGCAACCCTTGGCTGAAGAAGAAGAAAAAAAATTATATATATATATATATATATATATATATGTATGTATGTATATATATGTATATGTATATGTACACACACACACACACACACACACACACACACACACACACACACACACGGCAACCTCATCCTCATGGGGAGAAAAAGAACAGCTACCTTTGATCAATCCTTGACTTAACCTCTGAAGGCAGAAATACATTGTGGGCGCTGCTGCGTCCTGTGTCCCGGGACGCCTGGGGTCATGGCCGCCAGACCCTCAGCACTGTGGAAAAGCTGCCTCAGAGAAGTGTCACAAACAAGGAGAGGAAGAGGAAGGAGCGTTGTCTGCCTCTGAATGAAGCTAAAAATGGAAAGCGCGTGTGGTGCAGGAGCGGAACCCAGCCTGCCTTTTCCAAATGGGGAAGACTGAACTTTCCCACCAGCTCCCTACGCGAAGCAACTTTCAAAACAACTGGGTTGTCCTCCTCCCTCTGGCGCGCTAAGTCTTTCATCCTCTACCAGAGAAGCCCGAGAGGGGTTGCACCCTGCCAGCATCTCTGAGCACTCAGCCTTCCCGAGCTCCCATGGACCACAGGAAAATAGAACTGGGTGAAGGGGTAAACACCCTGCAGCCCTTTTGGATCGGTGGGCATATCGAGCCAGATAGGAAAAATAAAAACAAAACATGAAAAAAAAATTAAATAGAATTCCCTGAAGAGAATTCCTTTAGGAGCTCTCGGCTACAAATAGCACTTTCCATTTAAATGTGAAAGTGCATGAATTCCCAGAAGTCATTGAAGTGGCACAGCTTACTGTAAGTAAGTTATACAGAAGACTCGGGGATCCTCTTGGAATCTGCCCTCGGAAAAAAAGTGCTTTCCAAAGAGGGGAAACAAAGGGATGAACAGCCCGTGCAAAGTACTCCCACATAGATGCGACAGATAAAAATTAAAAATAAGGATATCCATGTAGGAACGCGCGCTAAGAAAATGTAAACACCGTGGTAGTCCCCGCATCTTCCCTAAATACCACGCTCTGGGAGTGGGGGGGGGGGTGAGGGATGTTTAGTTGTCTTTGCCCCAGTTACAACTTAAACACTTTATTTAGTTCCAACATGTAAGGTCACGTTGGACAAACGATGCTAAAGTTAGTAAAACTGAAAACCTAAGCTAACCCGGGATAGTTGCCTTGCTGGGAGCGGGTGGGGGAAACGGACTAGAAGCACTACTGAAATTTCAGTGAATTGACAATTATGTATGTCTAGAACCGAAAGGGTTAATGATTCATACGGGGAAAAAAAAAAGTCTTTTTAAATGTTTGACAGTGCTCCGCGCGCTAAAGCAGAAAGAAGCGTTGGTTTCTACCGCGGCAGCATTCTTTAAAATAATAAGAAAGAAAGAAAAGAGAAAGGAATAAAAAAGTTTTCAAATCAGATGAAAACAGAATCTAGCTCCTTACCAAGGTCGTACCCACACGTTTTTCCAAGAGAAGATCCAACATCTGAGATAAGCCTCGCTCATGTCCACCCAGTCCACATCCTCCCGCGTCCCAGCCGGGCTGAGCAGCACTGACGCGCACCTCGGCGGTCCCTCCTTTTCTACGCCGCGGGCCGGGCTGGCTCCAGGCGGACAGGTGCTGCGCGCTGCTCTTGCGTCTCCGCAACACTGGAGGGCCGAGTGTCACGGCAGCACTGTCTGTGCTAGCGAGCGACGGCTCTTCCCCCTCCCAGCCTGCCGCAGACTTCTTTACCCACTGACTGGTCTGATTCACTCCTACCCGCCGCCGGGATGGGGGCGTGGCCGCACCTGGACAGCCCAGCCGTGCCGCGCGGGGTTCAGGGCTCACCCCCACCCCCACCCCCGATTGCGAGCCGAAGCAGCTTCCTCTCTTTGCAAGTGGATTTCAACACGGACTGGGAATCTTCTTACTTCCCTTCGCAGGCGCTTGCCCTCCACGTTTACTCACACTGGGATTGTATTCTAAGTATTCCAGATCGCTTGCTTCCTGTCGCGGCAGACTCAGGCGGGGTGGGGGACTCCTCCAAAGAACTAAACCCAAGTCACCCAAACTCGGTGTCTCAGTTACTGGATCCGACGTACTTGGAAGGAGAGAGTTTTAAAAAAAAAAGTATTTTGGCATCACGTGTAACGCAAGGACGCTGTGTAGTCCTGGAGTCATAGCCAATAAAATAAATAGAATATTCTAAGACGTTTCTCCTCTACTATTTAAACATGTGGGATTTCATTTTTTCTGCTAACTGAATACATTCAGCTTGGGTAGACCTAAGTTCCTTCTTTTAACCATTTGGACATAGGGAAACAGGAAAGAGTTATAATCATATATACTGACATTGTTCTGGCCGCTCATCTCCAAGCCAGGCTTCTGAGCATGAACTACAATGGAGAGTATGAATGGTTCACAGTTAAAAGGGGGATATTGAACTGATCACCTTGAGTGGAAAGCTGTTGGAGGCAGTAATTAGTGGGGCTTGTTCTGAGCCTGGGTGGCTTTTCCCTCAGCTCCAGTCAGTCCTCCGGAGAAGGAAGGACATCCTGTGATGATGGCATACAATGTCCTGTTTGTTTATTATTAAGAGCGTGGACCTTGCATTCCTGCTTCTCATTACAAAACAAACCAGATGCTTTACTTCCTTCAATGGTCTTGTGCCTTCAGCAAGGACTCCTCTAATTCAGAGAAACAATGATGCAAAGGGCCCATTTATAACCAGCACCCCATCACTAGGACTGTTTAGGTCATAGAAATTCAAGTCTTCCACTTTTCCTGCTTGCCTCATCACAGGTTTTTGTTGTTGTTTTGTTTTTTAAATTCAGCTCTCTTTCAACCTTAGGCTGTGATGTCTTTTCTAGTATTTCAAACACACAAGACATACACATCCACACCCACATTCACACACCCAGACCCAACCTAATGATACCAACTTAGTCATACAATGAAGTGGACCTCTGAGTATTTGTTTACAGGAAGAAATGAAACTGAGCAAAACAAAAACCCAACTCACTCATAAAGACAGGCCTGCTTATCTTTAAGTTTTCTTTTAAGAAACTTTCCCAGAATTTTTTTTTGAGGGGATGGGGTTGGGTGGGAGGTGGAAGACTGTATCACAGAAAATGATATGTGCATCTAAATATTCTTTTACAATCTTTGTAGTTCAGAACAATCAAATTCCTACCAGGGGACCCTGGGGCTATAGGTCCACCTGTTATTGCACGTTATGCCAGAGGGGGCGCTAGCACCAAGAGGAAACAGGCTGTAAGCATGTTCTTATGCCAGCGGTATTAAAAAAAAAAAATGAATGAACAATTCTTAAGAGTTCTCAGAAAGGTCCAAGTGATAATTAAACAAAAGAAACCCAGCCTCTGCAGAGGGTTTATTAACTAATGCTGAGTCAGCACCCCGATGGACAGAAAAACAACGTAGTCATCCCGAGGCTGGCCTGCTGCTAGCTGTCTCCACTGCAGATCAGTTAACACGTTTTCACACTTCCCTTTCAGGATGAACTCTGCTCCTGGGCCACAGATACCGTGCAAATGTCAGTGACTGCACCACTTTGGTGTAAAGGAATCAGCAAAGGGTGGCAGTCAGGGTGGGAAGAGGGCTATTTTAGGCCAAATATTTGCTTTAATGACTGGAAGATGCCAGTGAATCAACTCACGGTTAATTAGTATCAGCCTGCACTCACCTTCTGAGGTGGTGAAATGGGCTTGAGTCTAGGGAGGACGCAAACATCAAATACCAGTGTGAGGCTTAGCTAGGCAACCCTAGAATTAGTTCCAGGTGTTTCAGCTGAGCTGGACAAAGCCATAGGTGGAACTATCAGGAAAGAAGATTTTGGGGTACAGTATTGGAATATAATGCCCTTGAAGTGTTTGCTTCATTTTTTCAAAGAGACGAGGGAATAAAAAGAAGACAAACAGCTCTAGGCCAATTTTTAATCATGATTATGGAGTTAAGGACAGATAGATAATGGTATAACTTAAAATGAAGAGCAAAAAAAAAAAAAAAAAAAAAGACAAAGGAAAGAAAGCAAGATCCTCATTCAGAGAAATAATGCTCATATTACAATACTTAGGTTTTTGTCCAGTGCAGAGCTGCTAAGCAGGTGAGAGACCGGTGGCTAGTGTCACCCAGCCCTCTTTAATGCCACAACAGCGATAGCCAGAGTTTAGACCAAGGCTGGGAGACGCTAGCACAGGTAAACTGCAGAGAGAGCTGAGGCTGCCACACTCTGCAGTCTTAAGTATTAAAACGTTTGCTCTAAACCATCACTGGGTAGGTACATCTGTAGTCACCATATCACCTTCTCCAGAGTCAGAGCACCCAAACCTCCCTTGTCTTTACCGACGGGCCTTTCTCAGGCAGAGTTTACTCACTGAGAGTGTGTGGAAGAGTAGCACATCACAAACAATCCCAAAGCTCTGTTCTCAGAAGCCCTGGTCCTTTTCTTCTGATGCATCATCACAAGCCAACATAGATTCAGTTTCAGCTCCTGGGCTAGGTTCCTCCCCCTCTCCCCCCCAACCCCCTCTAGTCCCTGTGTGGGTTGGGAATCACTATGTAGGTGGCTAGATGACTGTATGGGGAAAGGGACTATTGTAGCTATGGCAGCATGAAGGGAAATTGAGCACCAAATCTGGAGACCGGACTCCACTTGGTTTTTTAAAAAAAAAAATTTTCCCCCTAAGGAAAGTTAAAAAAAAAAAAAAAAAATGGGATGAAATATGCTCAAGATGAAACAAGTTTTCATTTTCTAATTCAACTCCTGTTATACCCAAACAAGGTCAATGACAGGCTAACCACATCAATAGAGCACCCCCCACCCTCTTCCCCACTCCCTACTCACCCACCCACCCTCAGCCCCCACGCCCATTTCCCACTTCCTGTAAGTTAGGCATCTTCATGCTGGTAAACATTTGGGGACCAACTGTAAGCCTGAGCCTAAGAGAGGGGCACTGTGGCTTTGAAGCCCTCCCACATGTCCCAAAGCCAGGAGGAGAACTGGAGGGGCATTTGGCTTTTAAACTTTAACAGCCTTTTCAAGTCATTGGGCTTGGCTTCTCTGGCTGCCTTTCTTTCTTTTTCTTTCTTTCTTTCTTTTTAAAGCTAGACAAGAAGAGCAAGTATGTGTGTGAGTGAGAGAGAATGTATGCATGACACATGCTGTATTACAAAGCCGTGTGTGTGTCATGGGTGTGATATGTGTATGATATGTTTCAGTGATGTGTTAAATCAATTTAAAAATAGCATCAGCTCCCTTTGCATGACACGGCTTACCTCCCCAAAACTGGGACAAACATTGTCAGGGCTTAGACTTTGGAATGGTGATCCTAGGGGCCTGTGAGATGTTTGAGAATGACATCAGTGTTTTGACTTCCTAAAGAAGGGAAACAAACAGTAAGTAAATTAAAGTAGGACTCCTTCTCTCTCTAGGAATGTAGCAAAGATAAGTACTTTACTAAGGCCTGTAAAGACCTCCAAGACGGCTGCCATGTCAGGGCTTTCCAGAGTTGTACATGTCATGACACCTCGGAATATTTTGATCTGTCATCAGAGTTACAGTTTTCTTTCTTTCTTTTTTTTCATTATTCACATATTTTAAAGTTATTCATTCAGTTGATCATCCACCAACTTAACAAACAATGCCAATGGTCCTCATCATCTCTGAGGCATCTGTGGGGGAAACCACTGTGGGTTTCCAAGATCTGATTGCTTTCCTAATCATGCTTTTATTATGGTGATTCAGACATGAGAGGGATCTTCATTCCTGAAAAGGCTGTGGGAAAAGCAATCATTTCTGAACCCAGAAGGTGTCTTCTAAGACTGAGTTTGGTTGGAAAGGAACAAGCCTGCACTGATAGGAGGCAGAGCAGAGACTCTGACAGAGGGTACCAGGACAGGTGCACATGCAAATGCAAGTTCCTAATATCTCCTCTGGGAGTCTGAGGGAGAAAGCAAGCTTCCACCTTAGTGAGTCCCTGGGGCAAATGTTTGCCTCTCTCTTCCAGGGGGGAGGAGAGGCTTATAGCAAGAGGCAAGGCCTACAGAAAGAGAAAGAAAAGATGGGCAAAGCCCTGGGCTCTCAGCACTGCATAAAAGCAGATAAAGTGACACATGCCTGTAGGGCCCACATGGAGGTGTTGAGGCAGAAGGATCAGAAATTGAAGGTCACCTTCAGCTACACAGCAAGGTAGCCTGTCATAGGGGCAAAAAGGGCTGATAAATACTTCTCATCCTTTCTAAGAGATGATTAAAGACAGTAGAGGGTTGGTATGTGTGTTCATGAATGTGCATGTGTGTGCATGCATTCCAGGGGAGTTAGAAGCAGATAAAGAGAATTATGGGGTAATAATGAAGTCTGAATCTCTGATTCCCGTCACACACATAGACTCTGCTCCAAGGGGTTTAGTACTTCACCTGAGAGGAAGACAAGATCAGTAACAAAACCCCATGTTCCTACCAGGAAAACTGAGAACAGATTTCCAGAAGCTTAGAAAGTATTTGTCTCCTGGATTTGCTTACAATAACCAGATCTCACCTTCAACCATGGCCCTGCGAGATGCCAGCTCACAGACATGGCTACTGCCTAGAAAACACACCCATAACTTGGCAGAATCCCAAACCCAGAGTTCTGAATTTTACACCAGTATCGTATGAGGCTTAGAGAGGAGGAAGAAAGCCCATGGCAGAACCTTTTAAGTTGGACCTGGAGTTTAGAGGCAAGTGACTG